GGGACAGCCCCCCCCCGCTTCTTTCCCTCGGCCCCGGTCAGTGCCGGGCGCGCCGTCGAATGGGGCTGGTCGGCTTGGCCAGGAGGGAACTTGGAGCTGGGGGGTGGGAGGCGAAAGGGGGAGGAGAGAAAGAGACCGGGGGGGTGGAGGAGGAGGGCGATCCCGGCCCGAGCGGCCTCCGTTAATCCAGGGCGATAAGCCAGTTTCATCCGCTTTGCATACCGAGGCGCCCTCGCCCTCCGAAAGCGATGCCCGGGACGGGTCCCTCCGAAGGCGCAAGGCGCGGCCCGGCCTCTCCTCTTCACGCCGGCGCCGGTTATCATTTTAACCGGATTACGCCTCGATGTGGATTTCTTGAAACATATGGGGGGGGGGGAGATTCTCCCGGCGGCAGCGCTGGGCGGCTCCCTGCCCCCCCCCCTAGATCCGGGGGCCCCCCCCCCCCCTTGTTGTCAATTTTATACACACACATAGATACATATATATGTATTATATATATAATATATATATATATATATATACGTATATATAAAACACATATGTATATAAAACTGCGTAACTATTATAACTGTAACTATATAACACTATATATAACTATATTTTTTTATTATTCATTACATTTCTGAATCGCCCCATCCCTGAGTACACATCCCTGAGCATATAACTAACTGTAACACTATATGTAACTATATATATCATATCATTCATATGTATATGCACTCTATATATACACACACACACTATATATATATAACTCTCCCTATATAACTCTCTCCACATAACTCTCTCTCTCTCTCTCTCTGACTTATTGTATGGGGGATCCCAACAGGAAATAACCCCGTTTCGGGGCAGAGGCCGATGGTCCAATCTGACTAAGCGAAAACTGTGTCACACACACCCTACCACTGAAAGATGACCCAGCCCCTTAGACGAAACTTTGTCTAGGCTAGCAGGTTCCTTTTTTAAAAAGCTGACTGGTGCACACACAAAACGATGTCCATTTTCTGCATATGGAAGCCAGGAATCCCAAAATAGGGCCAACATACGTGACCCAATAACCCCCCCCCCATTCTCAAAGTGACTCAGAAAGAAGAAAACCAAAACTGGATAAACTGAATAAACTGAATGTGGTGAAGATGTTATCTCTTGACAATAATCACGATAGATAGATATATTTCTGTCTCTAAAGCACCCTGGACGAAGATTGAGATTTTTTAATTAATTGGGGTCTTGGAAAAGATTTTGCGAGGAAAAAACGAGCGGCAGAGTAATGGTAAGAAAGATCCAGCTTTATTGAAAATTTATACATGACTCCCGTATTGTAATAAATAAAAAGGTAACAGTTCCCACAAAAAAGGAAAGAGAGCAGGATGCTAGAGAGGGAAATGCTAACTTTTGCAAGGGGATTTCAGAAACCGTAGCAAGAGAGACTCCTGATGGGCACAGAATAAATATTAACAGCATTGTGGAGCCCGACTGCCAGAGGTCCAAGAAGAGAACAGAGAACAGGGAACTAAATTTAGGAGGTAAATAAATAATTAGTTTTTCTTTTTTCTTTTTAAAAAAAGCATGGATCACCTCTAAAGAAGATTTTGTGTGTGTGTGTGTGTGTTTAAACTGATCATTCTTCAGTCAGCCTCATCAGGGCAAAAACTGTTTTACATTAACAAGGACTCTTGCAAGCGATGGGGGTTAAAAACCTGCCCTCTCAGCAAACCAGAAAAAGCTTCGCCGTTAATACTTATAATAAAAATGTAAAACCGCTGCTGAAATAAAACATCGGTAAATATAGGACATTTTAATAAATGTTCTGAGTATGATCTAACTATAAAATTGTTGTAGGTAGCATATTAAAACAGTATACATGGCAGGACTAGATGAAAGAAAAAAAAATCCGAGAATAGTCGCTTTGTTCTTCCTCTACACAATGCTATTATTTAAAAATTCTTTTTGACTCTACCCCACCCCCTGTAAACATCTCTGATGTTATCACAATACACATTTCTTTAAAATAATTTTTTTAAAATTATGTCTACGCTCACCGGTAAATCCTAGTTTTTGAAATAATATTGCTTGACTGGAAAAGGGGCGGGTAGTGGACATAAAATAATTCTGGGTGTAGCTGGTCTACCAAAATGGAAGATTTGACATTTTCCCAAAGTGTATTATTTTATGGTTTTGTTGTTTCTTTCAGTCTTGGTGGCTGCATTTCCGAAATGTAACAAGGTTATAAAACATGACAGCGCCTCCCCCCCCCAAATGAAGGCCGGCTACTGAAGGACACACTTCTCCTCTTTCTTGGCCATCTTTCCTTTGTTTTGTTCAAGAGTCCTTTCCAAATGTTCGTCTTCTTCTTCAGCCCTGGGGAAAAAAATCAAACCCCATGAGTGTCAGTTTTCCTAATAAGTATTCGCCTTCGCACCACAACGCAATAAACGTCTGCGCAGAAACTCTTGGGAATTCAGAACCCAAGTACTGGTTCAGGGACCACGACATGACTTTTGCCTGGATTGGGTGGGAGATGGCCGGACAAGGCTGGAAGCAAAGACTTAATGGGATATTTTTTGAATTTGAGAATTTCAAGTTTTGGACAACTGAGCGTCCTTCAAAGTTTTCCTGCTTTAATGAC